TTTGCCGATGGGGGCTTCTCCCGCCTCTCGCAGAGGTGGATGAACTACGCCGGCAGGGGGCGCTCTCCCATCCGTCTTCGCTGAAGCCCAGCCGCGGAGTTTTAAGTGTTAGCCTGCCCTTATAATCTGCCAGCCTCAGGGACGTTTCTGGGGGTTTGGTGGGGATGCCATGGAGAAGGGCACGGAAGGAGCCCAGTGCCTGCGTCCAGCCCTCAGAACCACAGCCCTGCAGGGGAAAGGCTCTGTGTCCAATTCCCCACCCCCAGGAACCACCTTTTCTTTAATGTGTGAATGTCCTGGCCGGCTGCTTGACAGGCCCTTGGGATTCCCATCTGCTGTGCTTGTCCTCTGGCTAGCCACTGAGAGGAGCTCCCAGCACAGACCTGCCCCTGTTCTGCGCCAGGCCTATTCCCGCCCCCAGTGCCTGGCTGTGGAAGTACAAGCTCAAACCCTGCTCTGCCCCAGCCCTGCAGAGTGGCTGGGACTGGCAGTGTTCACGAGCTGGCCCTGCCTTCTCCTTTGGATCCCAATGTCCTATTTCACCGTCTCTGTGTCACAGGGCGGGCCTGGCAGCCAGGAGGTGGGGCCGTGAAGCTGTCTGGAGGCACAAAGGTCCAGGCTGATAAGAGACTTGTTTATCCAGGGTCTTGTGCCCAGCCTCCAGACAGGGCAAATTTGGCAAGGAACCTTCCGAGTGAAAGCAAGCGTCTGCCTTCCAACTCTCTTTGTGAGTCCCAGCCCCCGCAGGGCATTTCCAAATCCACACCAATCCCTCTCTGTGCCCTTTGGGCCTCACTTCCCCTCCCCTTTTCTATTTCTAGCTCTTCTCTCCATCCCCTCCTGCCTGTACAGTGTTGCTGTGAGCCGCTAGCCAGCTGCTGTGTTCCACCCAGAGGTGGCTGCATTTCTCTGGCAGGTGAGTAATTGTTACCCTACAGTCTGCAAAGCACTTGGGGATCCCAGGCTCTATATAGCTGTGGGGGATCATTATGCCTCCCACAGCCACTGTTTCCTGTTATGCCACCCACCTTCCTGAGGAGTTTGAGAGCTGGGATGTAGGAGTTATCCCTCTGAAATTAGACTGTCATCCATGGGTAGGGCCCCTACCAAATTCAGGGTCCACTTTGGTCAATTTCAGGGTCCTAGGTTTTTAAAAATTGTAAATTTCATGATTTCAGTTATTTAAATCTGAGATTTCACAGTGTTGTAATGGTAGGTTCCTGACCCAAAAAGGAGTTGTGGGGGGGTTGCAAGGTTATTGTAGGTGGGGGGTTGCAGTACTGCTACCCTTCTGCGCTGCTGCTGGTGGCAGCGCTGCCTTCGGAGCTGGGTGTCTGGCCAATAGTGGCCGCTCTCCGGCCACCCAGCTCTGAAGGCAGCGCAGAAGTAAGGGTGGCAATACTGTCACCCCCGTAAAATAACTTTGTGACCCCCCCCCCTGCAACCCACTTTTGGGTCAGGACCCCCAATTTGAGAAACACTAGTCTCCCCTGTGAAATCTGCAAAAAGAACAGGAGTACTTGGGGCACCTTAGAGACTTTGTCAGTCTCTAAGGTGCCCCAAGTTCTCCTGTTCTTTTTGCAGATTTCACAGGGGAGACTAGTGTTTCTCAAATTGGGGGTCCTGACCCAAAAAGGAGTTGTGGGGGGGGTGCAAGGTTATTGTGGGGGGGGGGTTGCAGTACTGCTACCCTTCTGCGCTGCTGCTGGTGGCAGCGCTGCCTTCGG